CATTATTCTCAAACTTTCCATCAAGCTGCAGTCTAACCCCGTGCAGTTAAAAAATGGCTCCTAATTCCTGATTTTAAAACTCTTATCAATATTTCTATATTTGGCACCTAATTCCTGATTTTAAAATTCTTATAAATATTTCTATATTTGGCATTCTCTAATCATAGAATCGAATGAAGTTTCTGACCTGGGACCCCACAAAACAAAAAGGTCTCGTTGAAAGAATAAAGGGTGTAGAATGTCAAATATTATGATAGGATTTCAACTGAGTCATAATCTTTAATCCAGGAAAATTGGCAAACAATTCAAAGAAGGGCTAAAAACATATTTGAGCCGTGATCAAGAGATTTATAAAAGTGGAGCGGTATCCATATTATCTAATTCATAGGGAATGTTATTTTGTAGCGGGACTTAAATCAGATTATAACAAATTGACTAGTGATTAAAAAAAAAAAAGAAACTCAATATTTAGAGAGTATTTTTATTATTATTAATAGTTATATTTTTACAATTTATATCAAATTAGATTACATAACACTTTTTTATAATTTTTAATTCGTTATTAAATATATAAAAATATTAGAGGTATACATTCATTAAAAAAACAAATTATGCACAAAATTATTAGTGTTCTAAAATATTGGAGCCACAAATAAACAGGAGGGAATCTTATATGTTCTCTTTGAAAGAACATGATTGAAAGGACAAAGTCCAAAATCAGGGTAGGTTCTTTTTTTTTTTTTTAACAAAGTAAAATTATTTATATATTAATTAAAAATAAAAAAAATTTATAAGATCTAAACATATCACCCATAAAAAGTAAATACTTCTAACTCAAACTCACTATCCGTATACTGGAGTGAGCTGTTAAGATAAATACTTTCAACTTCAAAGAAAGACAATAAAGAAATACAATAAAAGAACGTCCTCCTTTGAAAAGTCAAAACAAGTTCTCTTTAAAATTTCTCCGTTTTCCATTTTCCATTTTTTTGTATTATGCATCCCAAACCCAAACCCCACCGAATTTGGATTCAATACTTCAGAGATGGAAAGCTTCTTCAAAAAAGTTATTTTTCTCTTCTGCTTTCTCCTGGTAGTGAAGATTGCGAAGCTCCAAGCTGCCAATGATGAATGCCAAACCAAAAAGTGCAACCACCATACCATCCGGTTCCCGTTTTGACTAAAGGAACAACAACCAGAACATTGCGGCTATCATGGGTTTGAACTCTCCTGCGAAAAAAAGCTGACCATGCTCGAGCTGCCACAGAATGTAAAGTTGTTCGTGAAGCGTATAGATTACAAAGCAAAGAGGATTCAGTTATATGATCCTCAGGGTTGCCTTCCCCTGCAACTTCCCAATCTCAATTTATGTGCATCTTCCTTCTAGTACTTGATACTAACTCCCTTCCGGTTCGATTCTACCGAGTCAAAGTACGGTCTTGTCAATTGTTCAAGGGAAGCAACTGTGGGTATTAATTATGAATTTTATGAGATACCTTGCTTAAGCGTCCGAGGCTTCCAAGTTCTAGCTTTTGCTTCCGATTTTACATCTGCTTTTAACTTGCTAAGTGACCGGAGAACGCTACTCAACATATTGGAGACAGTGGTATACGAAGATATGTTGTGTTACCAGACAGGGGATGTTCATTTGAGTCGGTCCCAACTAGATTGTAGTAATTGTGAAGAAGTAGGCAGCACATGCAAGCTGTAGAATAATAATAAGACACAGGATGACACAGAGTGCTATGGTACCACCAAGAATGACAGAGGCATGCTTTTACATTTATGTTATTATGAATTGCACGTGGATTTATTAATGATATTTTGGTCATTCACAAGCAGACTAGCATTTTTTTAGTCATTTTAGACTTAAAAACTGCAACCTCGTGCTTTTAACTATTGGACAATGTTATGAATACTTATTGCAATGCTCTCACTAGTTTAGCTATTTTCCTTTAATTTTGCCTTGTTTTAAGTTGTTTAAATTTTTTCTGGACTTTAGTTGTTCAATTGCCTTAGTGTTTGTTGTTTTGGTACTTCGGTTTTGACTTGCTTGTATATGGTATCTCAATTTTTTTGATTTGATAAACACATCAAGCTGCTGATTGTTGGAACGTCTTGCAGTTAGCAGAAAATGCTACTGTCTGCAGGCATAATCCTAGGTTTCGATCAATTTATAATAATTCTCATTGGACTTCACCGTGTGCACCACTCATATAGATCAAAGAAAGAGGGCAACTCAGGATTGAAAATTTTCTGGAGGATTACAAAGCGCTGAAGTGCTCAAGGTGTTCTTATGCTGATATCAAGAGAACAACAGATGAGTTCAAGGACAAACTAGGAGAAGGTGCTTATGGAACTGTTTTCAAAGGAAGGTTTTCCAATGATGTTTTAGTTGCTGTTAAGGTTCTTAAAAATTTCAAAGTAACTGGAGAAGAATTCATTAATGAAGTTGGATCTATGTGCAGAATCCACCATGTCAATGTCACTCGCTTGATTGGATTTTCTGCAGATGGAAATAAAAGAGCTCTTGTTTACGAGTACATGCTGAATGAATCATTGGAGAAGTTTATCTTTGCAACCAGTGACCAAACTCATTCCCTCAGTTGGGGGAAGCTTCAAGATATTGCAATAGGAATAGCCAAAGGAATTGAGTACCTGCATTAAGGTTGTGATCAACAAATCCTTCATTTTGATATCAAGCCTCCCAATATCTTGCTAGACCGTAACTTCAATCCTAAGATCTCCAAATTTGGTCTAGCAAACCTGTGTTCCAAGGAACAAAGTGCTGTTTCTATGACAGCAAGTCAGCAACCAGAGGAACAATGGGATATATTGCGCCTGAGGTATTGTCTAGGAACTTTGGAAAAGTGTCCTATAGGTCAGATGTTTATAATTTTGCAATGCTATTGTTGGAAATGGTAGGAGGGAGGAAGAATATTGACATCACAGTGGAGAGTATGAGCCTAGTTTATTTCCCGGAGTGGATGTATAATTGCTTGGACAAAGGAGAAGTGTTGGGGATTAGAATAGAAAATGAGAGGCATGCCAAGATCACAAGAAAACTTACAATTGTTGGACTTGGTGTATCCAGTGGTACCCAACAAATCTTCCATCAATGAAATCTGTGGTTCATATGATGGAAGGTGAAGCCAACAGTTTGACAGTGCCACCAAATCCCTTTGGCCATGCAGATGGAGCACAGATAGGTGCCAACATCCCTAGCAGACCAATTAACAGAGAATTAACAGTAATCTCTGAATTAGAATGATAGAAATTCTTTCTATTCTCCACTTTTTTAAAAAAAGATCTTTTCTAAATAATTGTATTACAGAAAAAAATTTATAATAATTGTGCCAAAGAATGAAAATTGTAATAATTATACTATATAATCCCTTAGTTGAGGCATAGTTTCTATTTCTATTTTAATTTAGTAACAGTTTTAGTTAACTTTGCGAGTTCATGATATTAATCTTTGTTTCAAATAAAATTAGCAGAGTTAGTCTCTGCTTTGACAGATAGTTGGGAAGCGTAGAGAGAACTAGAATTGGCTATTTACTAAATCAACAATTCAGAATATGGGAAAAAGATGCGATAGTTTCTGTGACAGAGCACATTTACCTGGCAACGAATTTGCGGCAGACCTTATGTTCTAGTAGCATTTGACATAGCTGGCTTATACTTGCATGATGTGTAGTTGGAAATTCAGAATGAACTAAACTAGGCATGGGAGGCATTTCAAGCAGATCAACTTTAGGACTTTGCTCATTGATGAGCGAATGACAAGTTTCATTTGCACCGATTCAATTTGTTTCAATTCGTGGTTTACTCGATTTTTACATTGCCTTGATTTAGAGGACAAATGGAAAAAATTTGCTTCTAAAGAAACGAAAACCCTTTACATAACATAGGACCAGAGTTCCACACAAGTCACCCCTATCTCTTTGAAATTTTAAAGTCAAGGGACCAAAATGAAATTCGTTACAATGTTGATAGACTATTTTATCAATCTTGTTAAAAGACTACTGAACATGCTATTGCTAAAAGATATTGGAGTTTTGGAAACAATTACTTTGATTGAAACAATAATTCATAATTCGTAGATAGAAAACTGAGTAGGTCATCTACCAAATCAACAATATACAAGATTATGGCACAATACATGATGAGTTAAATTTATATATATGTTAATGTGAAATTTTTGCCTTGATATTATTGATATTTAGATGAATTTTATGAAATTTTACTTGATTTACATAATTTTTATTTTTTGTGCAAGAAAGGATTTAATTGGAAGAAATCATAATTCTTATGAGCAAATTGAATAGATCAGAAAGATGAGGATTAAGTTATGCAGATTTCAGAAGTTAGGAACCAGAACTGTCAGTTTACCATTAACAGAAGTTGCTTAGAACCTAAAAAAATCGGAGTTGGCTCTTAACAAAAGGTGTCGGAACCTAATTGAAGGTGTTGACTCCTTATGCAATCTCAGCAAGTTCATGATTGGCTTATTATTTTGGTGTGGGTTCCATTTCTATTCTAATTAAATTTTTCAAAATCTTATAAATACTCATTCAAGTTCAAAATTGGGAGAGCATTGTAGCCTAATGACAGCTCTTTTTTTGGCACTTAAAACACTAAAATATCCTAATAAATGTACTAGTTGCTTTAAGTAATATAATAATAAAAAAAATGTCGAACCCATGAAAATTGTGTTAAACTAAATACCAAAATAATTAATTCAAATTTATTTGAACAATCAAAAAATTTTTTTTAATTAAAAATAAAAATAATAATAATTAAAATAAATCTAATCAAGATACGAGATACTAAGGTATCGATTTCATCATAATCAATTAATATAAATTCTGGATTAATATGCTTTCAAAACTAATTTGTTGAGTATTATTTCATGTGATGGTGGATTTTCTTAAATTAATTAACTAATTTTCTCAAGTTAAGTTAATCTTTCACTGGTTTATTAAATTAATCATATTTTTATGTAATTTTAAATAATTTAATGAGTATTAAATTCTATGAAAACCTCTAATTTAAAAAAAAAAGAGTTCTTAACTCCTTTCCCTTCGTCCATTATCACATGTGAATTAATTATCTCTCGGTTTCATAATCTAACACACGATTTATATTATTATTAATCTAATTTATGCAATTTTTTCTTAAATTCATGCATAAATCACTAAATCAATTAAAATGTGATCAAGCTTCCAATGCATTAAATTTAATAATATAAATTCTTTATGTAAATAACTTTATTTGAAAAGTATAAAAATCACAAAATTTATATTAAATTGATTATGTTACATCGTAACCTTAATAAAATAAATTAATTCATAATAAAAATAATAAAATTTAAAATCACAATTATAAATATAAGAATATCTAAAAAAAATAAAATTTAATTTAAGGTAATTGAAATCATTGATTTTCTATTGTTGATGAATCTTTTATCTTGATTTTTAAAAATGCCCAAGAAAAGGTTGTCACCAACCCCCACCTACTCTCTTAATTATGAATTTAGATAAATATTTACAGAATTTTATAAAGAATAGAAGTGAGACCTACCCCCGTAATAATTAATTAAACACAAATTTGGTGAAAATCGCATAAGGAGTCAACACTTCCCATAAGGTGCCGACACTTCTGTTAAGCGCACAATGCCATCACCGTGTCGGGTTTTTTCGGGTTTTTTTGGCCTTCGAGCAGTTTCTGTAATGACAAAATAACAGTCCTGGTCCCTAACTTCTGGATCTGCACAAGTTGATCCTCAAGTTTCTGATCTCTGTAATTTACTCTTAAAATTTATGATTTCTTTCAATTAAATCCTTTTCTACACAAAGAATAAAAAGTATGTAAAATCAAATAAAATCTCATAAAACTCATCAAAATATCAACAATATCAAGGCAACAATTTCACATTAACATGTATATAAATTCAGCTTATTAGCACTCTTAGAAATCAAAATAGAGGATTAATCAATAATAAAATATTAAGA